GGCAGAGGTCCGAGTTGGACTCGGTTAGGTTCAACGGTTGTGCTCAGAAGGATCGATGGCAAAGAGCTCGGAAGGTGGAAAGATGGGGATGGCAGATAGCTCGGGTCCAATTGGCTGGGTTTTGGTTTTTAATGGGTTCAATTGGCTGGGTTTTTTTGTGGGTTTTTCATGGGTTCAATTGATGGATTTTGGTTGTGGTGGCAGAGATTGCAGTGGTGGGTAGACTTATCTGTGATGAAACTCTGAAACATGAATTTATTTTGAAAAAAAAAAAAAGAACAATTATTAAAGATAATATTGGCAATATTAGCTTATATATATATATATATATATATATATATATAGATATATATATAAATGACTTATCCGTGAATTCTTTAGTACACAAATACTAAGGTATTGGATTCCATGACTATTGGTTAGAAGTAAATTTTTTTTTTTTTTTTGTGGATTAATCTGTTAAACACAGAATTTTTTTTTTTTTTTTTTTGTGTGGATCAATCTGTTAAACACAGACTTTTGGTTATACAATTCTGTAGTGCAGAATTTTCAAATATAAAAATATTAGTAGATCAAAAAATTGGTGTGAATTATGAAGGATTGGAGCAATTCTATATTATAGATTTTTCAAATACAAGAATACAAAAGTGCTCGTAGATCTATCTAATAAATGCAGTTTAAGATACTAGAATATATCAAACAAAAAAATTGGTGTGGATTATGGAGGATTGGTGTATGACTTTTGGATATAAAATTTTGTATTGTAGATTTTTCAAGTACAAGAATACAAAAGTGGTGGTTGATCAATCTTTAAACAAAGACTCTTTAAACACAGACTTTTGATAATTTTGAAAAATCGATGTCATACTCAGGATCAATTGTTAAACGCAATTATACAAAAAAAAATAAAAATAAAAAAAAATAAAAACGAATATGCTCAACACTCAGAGGAATATATATATATATATATACACACACACACATTAAAATATTGGTATTATTGTATAGAGAATGAAGAGCTAGTAGCATGGATTTAATTAAATAAGAGAGGAAGAAGGAAAGTGTTAGAGATTGAGATATGGTAGTATATATTTAATAAAATATGGTTTTATAAGAAGAATGGTTTAATAACAAGAAGACGCTGTTGGATTAATTAAAGAAATATATAATTTAATAACAAGAAGATGCTGGAGATTCTAGCTTTTTAGAAAGCAATTAAAAAGGTATTTGAAATCTTATATTTATCAAATCTCATTTGTAATTTTGTGATTCCAAACAAGACAAATCTTATTTCTAAATCCAAATCCCATCAAATTCACCATTCCAAACAAAGCAGTGAGTTGGGTTCTCACTTTTGGAAAATTCTAGAACTTCAATAATGAGAAAACAATTTGACAAATTATTTTACATTCTACTCCAAGAAAAGAAATTAGCCAAGAAAATCATTAATGGTATCTCTACCCACCTACGAAGTGATCAAGCTGCTGCTGCTACTTATCGTTTTCTGGTCGATCAATTGGATTTATCTATGTTATGTTTTGCGAGTCCTTGATCGTATAATTAATGTGTGTGTGCAGTATGTGTGATCGTAATGATGATGATGATTATTATTATTATTATTATTATTAATCTTAATGAACATTATTATATCTGTTAATTTGCACTTGTAGAGGGGATGCGTTAAATATCATATTCTCTATATCTACCACATGAACACAGATACAAAAACAGTCAAACTAACAAGATTAATTAGATCCTTAAAAGATATTGTGTTGATAAGTCTCATCCAAAATTGGTTATTATTGAAAAATTAATCCAATGTTTTTATTGATTCAACTGGGAATTAAGGAAACAAAATTAATTTAAAATAAAAGTTATTTCTGTTTAATAAATTGTCTTTGGCTAGATAAAAAAAAAAAAAAAAAAAAAAAAAATTATCTCTGAAAAAAAAAAAACCCAAGTTTTATTATTATAAAGGTAAATAAAAATAAAAAGTTAAATTTGTATAAAGGTAAATTATGATATTATAAAATAAATTATGATAGCATTAATGAGTTTAAGATCTTTAAGTGAAATGCGAATGTTGCTTATTATTATTATTATTATTATTATTATTATTATTATTATGTACAATAATTTAATTTTTGTACTCCTTAATCATTAATTTAAAGTCTAAAGTTAAATTTGAATGCAACTTTATATTATTAATTTGTAAGTATTAGTAAAGTAGTTTCATCTTGTGGTCCTGACACCATTCGTCACTCTCAGTAGTGTTCATTGTAGGAATTTTTCTCTTTGCTTTTCACGTGGATGGATCCCACCAATAAAACTTAGTGATCAAAGGTTCTCAAAAAGCAATCAAGTAGTCCTCTTCCTTCCATAGTTCCACAACAAGAGATTTGAAGCGACCGAGAAACAGTCTTGAAACATGTAAAGACACTAAATAGATATTTCGATTTTATTGTCGCTTTTCATTTTTAATCTATGCCACTACTGTAACTCGTTTTGTCAAAAAAATTGAATGGTCACTTTTTAATTTTAATTAGGATGCATGCGGTCCGATTTAATTCAGTTTTAAAAAATTTTAGAACCAAATCACTATTTATGGTTTCAGAAAATATAAAACCGAAATAGACTATTTGAACGATGGAACTAAACCAGTCCAAATCGTAAAAAAACGATTTGTTTCTATTGGATTTAACGATTATAGTTGAATTTTATTTTATTTTCTTAAATTATATATACAACAAAAATATTAATAAAAATATTCACATTCCTGAAAATAGCCATGGAATTTTTCTCGTTGCTTTTCACGTGGATGGATCCCACAAAAATACACTTAGTGATCAGGTTCTCAATATTTGTTTATATAAAAGCAATCAAATAGCCCTCCTCCTTATCGTGGATGGATCCCACAAAAAAACACTTGGTCACCAGGTTCTCAATATTTGTTTATATAAAAGCAATCAAATAGCCCTCCTCCTTAACGTGGACGGATCCCACAAAAAAACACTTGGTGACCAGCTTCTCAATATTTGTTTATATAAAAGCAATCAAATAGCCCTCCTCATTATCATCAAGAGATTTGAAGTGACCTTAGATATTTTTGAAGCAAAAATATAAAAACATATCCGATTAAACAGTGTAGTAAATTTAAAAAATATAATGGTTAGTTTAATTATGTTATTTATAATTTTTTTTAAATAATTATTTTTTATTATTCATTACTACAATACTTGTAGCAACAGTGCTGAAACATGTAAAAACACCAAATTGATATTTCGATTTTTTGTCACTTTCACTTTCAATCTATACCACTACTGTAACACGCTTTGCCAAAATTTTGAATGGTCACTTTCTAATTCAAATACCCTGTTAGATAAGTGATAATACTTTTGAAGAAGGTATTTGAATTAGAATGTGACCATTCAAATTTTTGGCAAAACATGTTAAAATAGTGGTACAGATTAAAAGTGAAAAGTGGCAAAAAAATCGAAACATCAATTTTGTATTTTTTTCATGTTTCAGCACTGTAGCAACACCTACTATAGTGATGAACAATAAAAAATAATATTTTTTTTTTAAAAAAAATTTTTAAATGCCATTTTTAAACTAACCATTATATTTTTCAAACTTACCACACTTTTTAATCAAACATGTTTTTATATTTTTGCTTCAAAATATCTTGCAACAATTAAACGTTATCAAACATGCTTTCGAGTACTATTTAAATCAATATATAACAAAACGCTTCTTTTGTTTCGGATTAAAACAAAGCGCTAAAAACAAACCAAACATGGCCTAGATAAGTGATAGTACTTTTGAAGAGGATATTTGAATTAGAAAGTGACCATTCAAATATTTGGCAAAGCAGGTTAAAATAGTAGTACATATTAAAAGATAAAAGTGGCAAAAAATTGAAAAATCAATTTGGTATTTTTACATGTTTATGCACTCTACCAACAGGTATTGCAGTGATGAATTAAAAATTTAAGTTTTTTTTTTTATAAAAAAAAAAAAAAACTTTTAATTGGCATTTCTAAACTAACCATTATATTTTTCAAACTTGCCACACTTTTTAACCAAACATGTTTTCATGTTTTTGTTTCAAAAAATCTTACAACAAATGGACGTTACCAAATATGCTTCCAAGTACTATTCAAATCACTCTATAACAAAATACTTGTTTTATTTCGGGTTAAAACAAAACGCGAACCAAACATAGCCTCTAGGCCCTGTTTGGTTCGCGTTTTATTTTTAGCGTTTTGTTTTAACTCGAAACAAAATAAGTGTTTTGTTATAGATTGATTTGAATAGTACTCGAAAGCATGTTTGTAACATTTATTTGTTGCAAAAATTTTGAAGCAAAGATATAAAAACATGTTTGGTTAAAAATTTTGGCAAGTTTGAAAACTATAATGGTTAGTTTTAAAATGTCAGTTAAAGGTTTTTCCAAAAAAAAAAAAAAAAAAAATTGATGTTTTGATTTTTTGTCACTATTCCCAAATATGCAAAACAATATATATATTTTTATCAAACATATTTTTTCTATTGTTCATTGTTACATAACCCAACAAATAAAAAAACATCAAAAATAAAACGTATACGAAACATGTTCTTAATTTATTATAATAAAAAAGAAAAATGTATAAAAGAATAAACTACAACATGTATTAAAATAGAAAACATTTATTTCCTTTCAGTATACCCCCAACAAATTCAAAATACAATTTAGAATTAAAATTTAAAATGTGTATATATATATCAAAAAGAGTTTATTGGGAGAATCTTTCTACGTCATGAATTATACGTCACAAAAAATCAGAAAGAAATTTTCCACATGTCCACATGAACTAAAACCCACTTTGTACAGTGGTTGCCCACTTGAAGGACTAATAACATACTTTTTCTTTTTTTCTTTTTTTCAGTTGGATAAGGAAGGTAGGGCAGACAATGTTTATAACTTTATATATACACTATATATATGTCATTCTTAAACCTATATAGCATAATACTATAACCTCCTGTGTTCAGTTCGTCGTTGGTGTCATATAACAAAACACATAAAAATAACAAGAAAAGCTTCTTCGACCTCTTCTTCTATCATCATATGCAGCTTGTTGATGATTTGGATTGTCATGGTTTCACCTGTACTCTCTGTCGGCTGTAAGTACTCTCTCTCTCTCTCTCTCTCTCTAACTCTCTCTAACTCTCTCTGTCTCTCATATCCGTTCATTTTGTTTTGCAGCAAGTGGAAAACCTCTCAAGCCTGGGGCGTCCTGTTCTCGTTCTAAGTATGGTAGTTGCATAATCCCAGTCAAACCTAAACCCTGTTCTCCGTATAATAGATGCCGAGATAGGCCTTCAGCTCCAGTTAAGCCTACGCCTCCGGCCCCTGTTGCACCTCCAGCTCCAGTTAAGCCTACGCCACCGCCCCCTGTTGCACCTCCAGCTCCAGTTACACCTACGCCTCCGGCCCCTGTTGCACCTCAGCCTCACCGAAGGTGTGGAGCGCTTCATCATTGCAGACCTCCAATCGCTGGTAAACCATAAAACTGAAACAAGCGAAGCAGCTGCCAATTAAGCATGTTTGTGGAGGGAATATTAGTGGTTTGTCATCTATTATATATTGAGATGTGGGAGTGTGTATTAATAGTATTATGCATGGTTTGGGGTGGGAATATTAGTGGCTTGTGATCTATTATTGAAATTTGAGTGTGTATTATGCATGGTTTGGTTTTATACATTTAGCCAAACTAATAATAATGTGTCCAATGTATGTGACTATGTTTTTCAACTCAATTTGGATTTTCCTTTTACATCGTATTGTGAGTTATGCAGTACAGAAGCTGTTAGTTAATTTAGTTGTGATTAAATTTCTAAATGACCTAGATGAGATTATTAGGTCAACTAGCCCAATTGCTTAATTTTTGTGATTGATTAATTTACTTAAGTAATATGATCAATTAAACATCCACAATCATAAAGATAAATTCTTAAAAGTAAAACAAGTAAAGTTAAAAAGATGACACCAAAATTTTAGTGAGAAAACCAATTAAGAAACCTTGAGGATTTTTGCGTTGTCCTGAGCGTAAAAGATCCACTATGTATGAAACAAAGTATACTAACTTTGACTCAGGTTCACACTCTGTCGCTCTACCAAGACCCAATCTGTTGAATGGCTCTGACTTTGTGACTTCCCATTGACTTCAGACTTATGCTTCAAACCCTGTAGAAGGATTGCTGTTAGATCAACAACACTCCGCAAGTGTCTTGATCCCTTCAAAGTGTGATTTGAAAATTCTTCTTATTTGAATCTGAATTTGATGTATAGAAATAAATTTACTTTTCGGAATTTCTGAATTTTTAATTATACTCCAATTCCGTTGAGATAGAGAACAATACTACTAAATCACTTTTGTATATATGTGTGCTCTCAAAACAAAAACTGAAAAATCAGATTTGATTTTCTAAAAAATATTTCTCAAAAGGCTCTCCAAAATAATAAATTTTTGCTCTAAAAAATCATACTTCAATGTTGAATAAAAAAGATATTATATAGAAGTTTGGAAAAACTATAAATACTTTGAAACCAAGTTAAATTCGTGAATAGATTTTTTGAAAGGAAGTCTACCTGCAATAGGACTCAAAAGATAATAATCTCACTTCATTGCCTCATCTTCTTTTCTCGTGGGTGAGACAAAAGATTACTGGTGTATCAGGAACACTACGTGAATGTTCTTATCTCTCATGAGTGTGATGGCTTTATATATATATATATATATATATATATATATATATATATATATATATATATATGAATTGATGAATATTAAAAGCAACTATTTTTTTTGAAACTGTATTAATGGGTATTCAATAATTTGAACTCTGATGAAATATAGAACAATATCATATATCACTCGTGTGTATAATATTTTTGCTATTAAGATGAAAAATAAATATTCAGAAAATCTCAAAATTTGGCTCTCTTAAGACTGTTTATTCAAAAGTTGTAGAAAATTCTAAGTGAAAAAATGTGTTTATATAGATTTCGTAGAGACTTAAAACAACTTGAAAAACTAGTTTAATTCATGTAAAATTGTCCTACAAAAATTTGCTAAATAATGAAGCAAGTTGGAGTAAAATTGCAAATTCTAAATTGGTTTCACAGAACTTGAACAGGTTAAAAAAAAAAAAAAAAAAAAAAAAAGAAGACGTACAGGTTCGTTAGGGTAATTTCAAAAACATAACTTGAATAGTTCAAAACAAAATGAACATGTTAATTTAAGGTAGTTTCAAAACTTTTATCAATTTTGAAAATTCTTTTTGAGATAAAACCTATCAAAAAATGAGTTCTTGGACACTTACTTTGACTAATATGTTATTCTTGTGGAGATTTTGTGAGCGAGTGTGCCGTGTGTAGGTGTAAGAAGCACTGACAGGCTATTACATTGAGCAAGTTATAAGTGTAAAATCCCATATCGTCTAGGGTATGGAAATGAGAAGTGCTATATATATGATTGGTACATTCCAATTGGTATGAGATCTTTTGGAGTAAAATTCGAGAGTAAAATCGCGCGGGCTTGAGCTCAAAACAGACAATATCATACCATGTGGTGGAACGAATCATTACAAATAATATCAAAATCTGGCATAGTCGAAAGTGTGGCCAACGAGACGTTGGGCCCCTAAAAGCGTCTTCTAAGACTAAACATGATCCAAAAACTCGACGATTAAAATTTGAAGTATCATTTGCAACCCTTAATTCATTGTACTCAAGCACAATGTGCACCTTTATTTATTTATGGATGCGATATTCCTACTCCACCTTTTTACATACGCCATTCTATTTAAGTGAAATGATTTTTATAGCCTTAGGTTCACAAGTCCATGATTATTCTATTTTGAGTTACACAACTACCTTTGTATTTTTTTTAGATGAATTAAGTGTATGTTGGTTAAATTCATTGTTAAAAGGGCTAAAAATTAATAACCTGAAAGTAGCCAAATTGCACTGCAGAGAACTATGGTGAAAAGTTACTAGGGAGGATTGAGCTCCCACCGATAGATAGGATAGTAAACCATCTATTCTGATAATGCTATTAAAAGGGTGTATTTTTTTTTATTTTTTTATTTTTATTTTTTTTAATGACAAAAAATGAACTATTTATAAATATATTTATGTTATATTTGGAGTACTGGATTGAATTGGTGTCTTAGATTTAGAATTGGAAGAAATTTGATTTAAAATTTGTACTAATTTTTTTCCAATCCTAAATTTAAAGTCTCAATTCAATACTCCTAAATAAAACATTAAACATTTTTTTGACTTTTTATATATTTTAAAAATTATTTCAATCTAATAATTAATAAATAAATAGCATGATTTTCATGAGAGAACTCCCTCAATATATCTATAAACTTAATTTAACTTGTGATAAATTATATACTCCGTATTTTTTTGGGGTCAATTTTCTAGGCTCTTTCCTCAGCTTTCTTTAGGCTTTACCTGGCCCCATTTCTTTACCTTTTGTTTTTTTGGTATAGCTCATTCAGTGCACCCAAACACATTTTCTACATAATCCATTTCGTGTCACATATGCACGGACAAACGTGAGTACGATGTGTGTGTATGTATAAAAATCCTTTTCGACCTCCAGAAAATTACGAGGAATTCCTTGGTTCGGAAATACCATATTTTAGTGTAATTGGCACTCTTATGTATTTTGCAATTGCACACGTCTTGACATTGCGTTTTAAGTCAACTTATTAGCAAGATACAGTTCTACACCAACCCGCAAACATTGGAATGGAGTCAAACACATATTGCGATATTTTCATGGAACAATTGATAAGTGATTATTTTATTCAAAAGAATCTAAATCCCAGTTAATTGGATTTGCAGATGCCGAGTATCTCTCTGATCCATATCAAGCTCGATCACAAACAAGGTATGTGTTTACTTGTGGTGGCATTGCTATCTTATGGCGCTCTATGAAATAGACAATGATTGTCACTTCCTCAAATCATTCTGAGATACTCGCAGTTCATGAGGTAAGCAAGGAATGCATTTATTTGCGATCCATAATCCAACACATTAGAACAACATGTGGCCTTTCATCAATAATAGATAGCTCCACAATATTATATGAAGATAATGTCACATACATTGCACAGATGAAAGAGGGTTATATCAAAAGTGAGGACCAAACACATCTCACCAAAATTCTTTTTCCCACATAAACGCCAAAAGAATGGTGAAATTGATATTCAGCAAATACGTTCATGTGAAAATTTAGCAGACCTGTTCACTAAGGCACTGCCAACCACGGTGTTCAAGAAATTGGTACACAGCATTAGGATGCGACAACTTAAAGATCTTTGGCATTGATGAGGGGGAGAACTTAAAAAGGTATTAACATTTATTGTACTCTTTTTCCTTCGCTCATGTTTTGTCCCAATGGGTTTTCCCGGCAAGGTTTTAATGAGACAATTCTAAACAATACAATACTTTTTTTCCAGACACACAAGAATATTGTACTCTTTTTCCTTCGCTCAGGTTTTGTCCCAATGGGTTTTCCTGACAAGGTTTTAATGAGGCATATTTTCAGTGTAGTATTGTAGAATTTAAAGGGGAGTGTTATAACATGGGGCCCACATATATAATTTGTATGTAAGTGGTTATTCACATATTTGATGACGGCACACAAATCAAGTGTAATGATCTGGTCATTTCATTCCTTTCATTTTTTCCTTAGAATTTTACGGATGAATTTTTTTTCGTTGAAATTCCTTTTCTAAGTTCGGTTTCTCGTCGTTTAGTGTCGTTTTGAGTGTTCGGAAATGGTTTATGAAACTCTTTCCTTTGGATTGACAACTTCCTTTGAGGACCGAGTCATTTCCACATTTTTCGTTTTTCGACACTATTCACTTTTCGTCTTTTTCCCCGTTTTGTCCTCTTCCCTATTTTTTCTTTTCCTCGTTTGTCACTTTGTTGGCATAACCTCACTCCTTGTGTTTGGAGTTGGTTTTTGACTTTACATATCTTCATTCTAAGTGGTTTCCATGAAATACGTATCTTTACTTTTACAGAAAGGTACTCTGGTTGCTCCCGGTGTCCATAGGGGCATGGATGTACAGTTTTTCAAAATCTTTTTCTTTTCTTGGGGTGTTTTTCATAAATATCTTTTGAAGATATTTTATTTCAGGGGTATCTAAGAAAATATCTTTTGGAAGATATTTTTATTGTAGGACAGTTTCGCAGTTAACCCTTTTTGTAGGAACCATTATGTAATTAACGAAAGTTATTGCAAAATATCTCGTCTGGAGCCTGGATCCTTGTACAGGATTCATTTTCACATTTCGTCGAATCATGTACTCATAGAATTTTCTTCTAATTGTTTTTCTCTAGTTACAAGGTTTCTGGCCCCGGTTGTCGCCGAACTTGTTCGGGGCATATCTTTCTACTCGGGACTCAGTTTTTGACGCCGTTTCTTCCGTTATTCATATTTTCTCATTTAGAATCTTTTTTGTTCACAGAGTTTTGTCATTTGAGTGCGTTTGCTCAAAATCCACTTTTCCAGACCCGGCGGGACCTTTTCGGAGCACTTTTTGAGATTTTCTATAAATAAGGGGTCTTAAGTCAAAAAGTCAAAATTCCATCATCTTCTTCACCCTCTTGGCCGGCAGCCATGGGAGCCCAAGGGGCTGCCTTCATTCTTTCTTCTCCTCCACTTGATTTCCTTAGTGGAAACTCTTCAGCCTTAACGTTTATCGTTCCCCTCGACATGCTCTACCTTTCTCCCTTATTAGAATTTAT